GAGTCCTAGTTCTACTTTCAACTTTTGGGTAATTAATTGCAGATAAGAGTATCTCAAACTTTCCTACCCAGAGGGCTTCTAACCTTGATCCTCAGATATCAGCCTCACAAGTAACTAGGATTACAGGCATGAGCCACCAATACCCAGCATGACTAGCATTTATACCTTACTTGATTTTAATCCATGAATAGCAGTCTTGATTGTAATGATTATATTACTCTAAGGATATTCTGGAAAATCACTGGATGGTATACTATGCGGGTAAATTTTATGGCACATGATTTATAACAATACACTTTTTTAAAATGTCATAGAAATAGATCCTATTTCAACTACCTGTAGCCAATATCTCTTTGGGCAATTTATTTATCTTTTCTGAGCTGTCCTTTCTTTGGAAATGGAGAAGTGAGAATTTTATCTTCTTTCCCTGAGAAGTGTTTTTATTTTACCATTTACTCAATATTTGGACGTATGATCCCTTTTCAGTAGAACTAAAAATTTCAAGCTATGTCACAGACTAAGTCTTTAGCCTAAGTTCATATTAAATCAAGTGGTTCTCAAAATTCTCAGGTGTTGGAGTCAATCTGGGTTTGACTAAAACAATGCCTTGCTTCAGATTTTTTTTTTTTTTCAGATTCTTCTTCTCATATATTGAAGTAAGGAGGTCAGGTCTGGCTGCTGCCATATTGGCCACATGGTTGGATGGTAGGGTCTAGCATCTTGTCTTCATGCTGGGGTGGGGGAACGAAACCCCCTGCCCATCATCTGCCTCCCAGGTGATGGTGTGCCGGATCTCTGGAGACAGGGGTGGACACTTGATTGAATGGTAACTGTCAGTCCAGTGCCTGGGACTGGGAAGTTCCTGTGTTTCTGCCAGGTTGGCTCAGGGCCAACCCTATTTAGCTCGGCCACCATTATGCCCTGCCAGGTATGTCTCCATGATCGTCTCCTGTGTCCTGTTTCCTGGGTCATCTCTGGTCATCATGGCATCCCAATTCAGCTCTCCATTGGAGCTGAATTGGCTTGTTGTTATTGGTTTTGTTCTTTCTTTCCTCTCTAGCATGTTTCTTAGCTGTGTTATGTTTATTTGGGGGCTGTAGGCCTTGTAACAACTGCTGCCTATAGCCTGTTAACTGTATCCTAAGACTCCAATATTCTATATTTCAAAATGTGGCTTCTGGAAGGATTCACAACAATATACAGTTTACTATGCATCAAGACCCAATGTAAGCATTTGAGAAACATCAATCATCCAGATGACCATAATAAAGCAAATATTGTCATTATCAGTCTTTTATTGATGAGAAAGCTGAAAGGTCACAGATAGCAATGAGCTGATCTAAGGTTCAACCTGAGCCACTCCAAAATCTGCTTCCAACACAATTTTTCTGTTATCTTCCAAAGCAGTGCAACTGCATACATGCACACTTTCATTTCTACCCCATCTATGTGTACAAAACAGAAACAAAAGTTGCATTAGCACATACTCAGACCAATACCCTATGATATCTTTTATATTTAACTTTGATTTTTTTTAGTGAACCTCTTAAGAAGGACAGGGATGGGCTGGGAAGTTGGCTCAGTGGTAGAGCGCTTGCCTTGCATGCCTGAGGCCCTGGGTTCAATTCCTCAGCACCACATAAGCAAAAAGAAAAAAGCCGGAAGTGGCGCTGTGGCTCAAGTGGTAGAGCACTAGCCTTGAGCTGAAG